AGTTTATTGTTCAAGTGGGGCCCCTTCTTAAGAAATCCCTGCATGCAAATTCCCTACTATTTTTTCTTACATCATTGTTATCGTCTTTTCTATATTTATGTACACTTTATCAGTTTATTTTAAAAAATTTTGTATTTAGCAGAACTTAAAAATTGTAAACTGAACTAATCTAAACTGTTAAGGTTCTCAAATTAATTGTGCTACGTGCCTTTAGAAAATATTACCAAAGGAGGGTGAAAACAATCTCCTTCTGTCTACAGAAAAGCGTTTTTTATTTTTGTGTAGATCGGTCATAAAACTGTTATATTGAATGATGACCGGGCTAGTGTCCAGGTTTTTTAGTAAATGTTTTCTAATGGCAGTTTTAAAATGTTTCCTTAAGCAAAGCCATTTTAAAATCCAAGAAACAGTTTGAATTACCTGGTATTGATTCCAAATCAGTTTAAAAACTGTTTAAAAATGCTTTTAATTAAATTTGTTTAGTATTATGTAACTTATCTGTCAAATGAATAAATCAATTAAGAAAGAAAATATTTGCAAAATAAAATATTGCTGTTTGTTTCCAACACCAAATTTTTTCATTAAGGTTATAAGTTTGCAATTAACAGCTGCAAGTTCTTCTAGTCAAATTAAACAAAAGAAATAATTAGCCTTTCCAAAACACTGCTTGCTGTCTTGACCCCCTGGGCTCCCAGGCTGAAGCTCAGCAATTAAACTTGATTATAGCTCTCTATTGAGTAATTATGTTATAATTATATTTTTTACTGACCATCAATTCAAGCAGGCAAATTTTTATTACAGAAAGATGTCAGCCCTAAAGGAAGAAAAGAACTCCTGTTTATTCTGGCTGAGTTTCGCAGGAAATTGCAAAGCAAAAAGTACTATGAAGAATATTTTGCACGATCTAGTGAAAGTGAATTGAAATTTTGCAACAAATTAGGCTGGTTTGAATGTGAAGGTCAATATAACAAAGAGAATTGCACAGGATCTCACAAAATCAACCCTTATAGCTCGCGAGATGCAAGGATCCTTTTTAAAACCTGGAATCTTGACCATCGGTAATTAGTGTTGCATGTTCTTAAATTTTGTCATACAATACAATACAATACAATACAATACAATACAATACAATACAATACAATACAATACAAAACAATACAATACAATGTCATACAATGCAATTACAAACAATACAATGCCATACAATAGAATTCTTTTTGATGCAATATGATATGACTCATTACGATACAATAAGAAATTATACCACATCAGACAAAAAACACCATCGTGTACATTTTTAGTCCGTTTACTTTTGCACTGATGAAGCCCCGTATGCTTGTGGGAGATATTAGCCTTCACTGATTTACGTGTATTTATTGTTGTTCATTCTCGTCGCATTGCGGTGTTACCTATTTGCTACATCTTTATCGATTTTTGGCCGCAAGAATTTCTTCGGTGTCCGCCGAGCAACCTGCTATCGTGTTCTTTTCTTTATTCACACAAAAAACACCACGTTTTCCTTCTTCTTTTACTTTAAATTGACAATAATTTTCTTAACTGAATCAGCTACAATCCTTGCCAAAATTGCTGGAACACTTACAAAAAGCTAAAGCCTTTTTTGGAAAGTCTCCCCTACTTTCAATTACATTTTTGTTAATTTTTCATGCTAAAATATTTTTATTGAAAGCTATTGAGAAGGTATTGAAAGAAAAAACGTTATCAGGTCAATATTTTGGAAGCAACATTGATGTATTGGTAAGGTAGTTTTAGACTTGCTTGGTAAGTTTGCATGCCGTCAGGAGAAATATTTTTGGCAAGGACTGTAGCAGCTAAGAAAATAATTTTCTGCTCTTTCTCAAATTTAAGTACCCAGATCTCCAGTAATATTTATTCATTTGCAAGAGTTTTTTGCTCCCATAGGATTGAAAAAAGTCGAGAAATACTCCCAAAACTCATCAAAGCAACGGAGGAATGCCCGGAAGAAAAGACGGTGAATTTAGAATATTTTTACGACCTATTATTCACAAGAGTGAACCTAAGGCTAGTGGATGTACGGTGTCACGTCATAGCCGCACATGACGAGTGCAAAATTGACGAAAGGAGGCAATATAGGAAGCGAAAATTGAAATAGAGGTTGACTCAGCTCCCCAAAGGCCAGTAAGTAATTTGTCTATTCATTTCGTTTTCAACGTGTCCTGTGGGTTTTATGTTTTATTAATGTCTTTGGCTCTTGGAAAGAAGAACCTATCCTTATACAATCTTGGTTTAGAGGCCTTGACTTTTAGAACCTCTGGACAGAAGAAAAGTGTACCGTGAATTTGGAAAGTCAACCCAGGAATACAAAAGATCGCTTTTTCGTTGATTTGCTCGAATTTCGAATGAATGCCTCTCAGGATCCTGTTTTAAGCTGCTTTTCTTGTGTCATCATGAATTCGATATTGCCACATATACCGAAAAATACAAGTTTTTGTGGTATGAACTTTAGCAAAAGAAGATGCCTTTTTGCAGCGTCATCAAAGTAAATGCGTGAAGTGACTTTTATTTTAATTTTTTCACTGTCTTATAACTGGGTAATGTTGTAAGTTGTTTATTTTACTATCATGATTTCTAGCTCTTTAGTTTGATTCTTTTTTAAGGGGCAGTATTTGAAAAATTAATGAACTTTTTGAGGGAAAACACTTTTATGTGTTTCGAGATTAATTTAAATGTTATCTTGCAAGCTAAGTGGTCCATAAATTCTTAATCTTTGATAATATTAGAATTGATATGGTCCGTTTTTGTGTACGAAGAATGAGTACATATAGGAGTGGGGGACCCTGTAAGTAAGTAAGTAAGTATCTAACGAAGTGACACGGTTTCCGTAACAGAATGCCACGCGAAGAATTACCATTTTCCTCTAATTAGTGTCTTGCTTTCTATTGCCCGCGGCTACGAAATGATGTTGACTCAACGTCATCAGCAAGTCAATTTTGCAAATTTTTATTTTGGCCTATTGTGGGACTTAAGGTTTTCTATTCGATAAAATTTTCAATTATTGACAAAGCTCTTTGATACCGCTGAAACAACCTCCATGGAGAATCCGGAGAGGTACCATGTTTTGCTAGATGTCATATTTTTAGGAGAGCGTTCCCTGACTCTAGGCGACCCCTGATTCATTGATGCAGTCAAAAAATCTCCTCGACGTGTATGACACGAGGTTAATTGGATTATCCGAACCAGATTCTTCACATTCGCGCTCTTCAAGTTTGCGATACCTCTGCATAATCACGAACCATTGTGAATGAATGAAAATGGTTGTGAACCAGCATTGATCATCATGAAGCAGTGTTAATCATCCGTGAATCATTGTGAGTGATCGAGAATCATCATCAGTCATAATAAATCTGCGAAGGTCATCGTGAATTGGCTCAAATGATAATGAATCATTGAAAATCGCTGTAAATCGGCAAGCCGTAAAAGCTCTAATAAGCCCCCCCCCACACTCTATTAAGCCCTTTTTCCACCAAGCCCTATTACCATGCCAAAATTTAAAATGAGCTCCCCTCTCTATTAAGACCCCCTCTTTAGCCTCTGATGTCAAACAAAGAAAACATGCACATCTAGATGTTCTCTTGACGGCTGTGATGATGATAAGACCACGTGCATTAAATACGGCCCGCGTAAAGGTTTTATTGTGTGCCTTAAAAGTCAAGAGGATACTGATGTTGATTCTTTCAAGGAAGTCCCATGGCTTTGTGGCCATAATAAAATAGGCATAAAATATCGCGAAGCATTCAAGTGCGGTTTTCAAAGATGGTGCTTTAGTCTAATAATGCTATCAACTCGAGCCCCCTTCCCACTTTGAATTTCTTGATGCCGCCCCGGCACCGTCAATGACAATCTCAACGAGAGTAATTTCTCACCGAGTCCCTATATTCTGATAATTTTTCTGTATGAACATCTTCATAGAAAAGCCCAATCCTTCTTGCTACCGCTCTTTGCTGAGCTCATATTACGTACCAGACATCTTATTCGTACATAGCCATTGAGCCCCTATGTTTTATCATAGTATGATAATATTGGTATTGATTTCGGTACTATGAGTATCTGTTATCATGGTTTTAGGATTTTAAAGATTCATTTAATAAAATGTAGTGATAACATTTGTGAATATTTTCTCTGGACATTATTACGCCATATACTAATAGCTTCTTACTTTAAATAATAAGATCTTTGCCATCACATAATTTGATAATTATGTTTAACATAATTAACATAATATGTTTAACTATCTGTAACTATCTCGAAGATGGTATGGCAGCTGTTATGAGTTTGTCTTCTAGCAGAAATAATATTGGGGGTTTCTTGTACAACCAGATTTATATATTCGGAATCAAAGCTGGTCTCCTCGAAATTCTGTGACGTGTAACGTAAGAATACCATCTGTGAATGTCTTAATATGACAGATAACTGTTGACCAAGAATCTGACAGCACAGTAAAGCTCCGTACAGCAGTAGAGAGACCGGTAGTTACAGCCCACGCTTGCAAAATATCTTAATATCAAAATATCTTGCCAAATATTCCATTAATAAATGGTATGAACTCCATTGAATAAGAGTTTCTAAATTTTTGTTCTGTATGAAATAGTTGGAAAATTTTTCGGGAAATATTGATCTGTTATATTCATATTTTATATTTGAGATTTTGAATATTCGAGATAATATAAAAGTGCAAGGACATTAAAGAAGGAGATTCGCAAGTATTGGATTCATTTTGGGACGTTTTTGGATAGGGAGTGGTGGAAGGAGAGCGGGACAGTTTCTTAAAGATGCCTTAAAAACGCTTTTTTTTAAATCATGTATTGTGAAAAATTGCATGTCAGGATGGGGGCATATTCGAGGTTGTGGGCTGGTTAGAAATTAAGCTTCTAGGGTGAGGCATCGATCCAGTACTTATTATATCTTTTGCTGTACTGCATATATGAGTCCGGCAGATTTTGAGACAAGAAGGAAGGCAACCGCACAGTCAACAAGCATTCTTATGTCAACGCTGAGCTGCAACCAGTTACGCAGCAAAAGCAGTTTATGTGGAAATAAGCATTTAACACGAGATGTGCACTAAGCATTAATTATCAGCTTACGTAAGTACTACATTAAGTCAATATGCATTCGACAACATAGCAGGGCTTGCTGGAAACATTTAAAGGAAATGTAGTGAGGCAATGCACAAAAGAACAACACACGCATATACACAAACGAAAGCAATAACTAGAGAAGATAGGCCGTGATGTTAGACTTTTGAGAATTTAAACTTTGCCATCTCCGGAAAAATTTGCCTGTCATTTCATGGAAAAATTGGAGAGTCAGAGGCACTTTGGGCCCTTGAAACGAACAAAAGACCTGCTTTCTGCAAACCTGTCCTATTTGTATTGAAAATACTAATTTTTTGACATTTGATTTTACCATGCAGTAACGAAGTTTGGCCTTTCAGACTAGGGTTGGAGGTGCATGTCTCTCTCATAGTTAAATATAACAACGAAGACATAAATGAAAGAAAATTTGGGCGATATTTTGCCTACTGAAAGTCGATTTTACCAACAAAGATTTTGTGGACCAGCTGAAAATTAACTCTGATCCTGTTCGAGTTTCTTTTTAAACTTTTACATCCTTCACTTTATTGGTGCTTAATGCAGTCAAAAGTAAGTGTAGGTATAATTTTTAAGGCACGACTCCAACTGGCTATGTTAAATCAACCAGGGTTAGTTTTAGATCCCGTTTACACTATGCCGGATAAATTTTATCCGCATCAAAATTAGTTCAGATAGGCGCCGCGTTTACACTAGACCCACGCTATCCGCACGAATTTGAGAGCGGCTATCCGAACAAAATTAGTGCACCTAGAAAAGTGGATTAAATTAGTTCGGAGAGCTATGTGGTACAGTGTAAACGCTTTTATCCGGATAAATTTTATCAACATCGTATCTTGCTCGAAAGCGATTGGCTATTTCATCTAATTTAGTTTTCATTGTCTTCCAATCAAGACATTTCGCCATCTTGGCTGCCTTGTTGTTGATGAATACTCGTTTGAAAAGTACAGTATCTTGCCAGTTCACGTAAAATTGGCATCCTTGTCGGTACTTTCGTTGCTAGTTCAGTGTCATTTTGTTTCAGGAACAAACTATTAAAACAAACTAGGCCTAATTTATATCGACAATATTTTTGGATTTGGTCTAAAAGATAAGCAAATGATTCTGAAGAGAAAATGAAGTCTTTTTACATTGGCGGGAGTTTTGTTATTATTTTCTTGCCCAGAGAAGACTTCATTTTGGGCGTTCTGTGCATGATTTAGGTCATGTGACTGCAGTTATCCGGCACAGTGTAAACGGGAGGGCAAAGTGGACAAAATTTATGCGGCACAGTGTAAACACAAATCAATCCGAAGAAGTTTTATGCGGAAAAATTTTAGCCGGCACAGTGTAAACGGAGTCTGTCGACCTCCATTATCTACGTGCTAGATGTGTCTCCCTCTTAAACACCGTGCTTTTTTCTCGTCGTGGCCTTTATCAAACTATTCTCGCAGTTTCATCTCTGCAAAAGCGATCTTATGGGAAATATCACCCCACGATTCCCATCTCAATTTTTCGTATAGTATCTTTGTCTCTGTTGGGAAGAGACTCATTAAGCGGACCCCAGAACAGCTCCAATACCACCATGGCCCCGCGCGGGAAGCAGCACAATTAAGATCGTTTCTGTTATCATTGTCGTTGTCCCAAGTTGAGAATTTTCTCCCAGTTGTCATAGAGTCCCCAATGTCACCTGTGTAACCATCAATATGTATTGTGTACTCTGTCTCCCTTCCTGCAATGCGAAATTCAGTATACTTTGCAAACCCCTGCGTGCCGTTTGTCGCTTTAAGGTCTATTCTCAAGGTGACATTGTCACGGCTTGTCAAATAGTGGATTATGTCCAGTCCCAACCAGAAATTGCCCTCGAGATCACCAAAGCCTTGTGCACATTCCTGCCATGTTCGGTTAAAGTTTGTTAGACTTGTCACCCTCCGTAAAATCACAGTCCACCCTCCGCCGTCTGTTTCCATATCACAGTATACTTGTGCAGATTGCCCGCCTGGTAACCGTATCTTGATGACTCCGCTGCCAAGGTTTCCTGCTTTGTATGCGTCTTTGCAGCTTCGATATGTTGGTCCTTTGAAAAGGAAAGTTGTAGGTTACTTTAAGGATTTCCTTAAAAGTCTGACTTTATTGTATTTATTCGACAGCCTTGTTGTTTGATTCTAATGCTTTTATATTTTGATTTTTCATTGGATAGTATCTTTTTTAAATTACGAAGAGTAAGCAGGGACTTTCATTACAATACAAAAATCATGCTTTGTTTCACAAAAATAGCATTTCTAGTTAACATGGATACGCAGAACGTATATAAGATTTTGAAGTAGCAGATACTTATTTGATACTTTGCACAATGGTATGTTTTTTGAGAACCGACGTAAATGGTTTTTTAATTTTTTCCACATCCAAAATAAATTACTCATGAAGCAGCTGTGGTTAAACTTGCAGGTGGACATTTTCAAGTCTATTTTCCATTTAAGTCTGTCGTGTTAGGGAGAAGCCTGGAGGCATATAACAAAGTCTTTACAAAGGAAAGAAGTGATGGCTAAGAAGAGGAAGTTTAGCTGGGGCCCCTATTTAGGGACTGCAAGAAAGTCCCATCCAACGCTGTGGAACATGGCAAACACAATAGCAAGATGTAAAAATGAGATGTTTTTCAACTGTGTTATATTTAGTTGAAGAGCAGTAGAATTATATTTTTTTAAAAATAAGTAAACTTGGGCAAAGTCTTAAAAACACTTCATTATGGGGCCCCTTAGTTATCGAAACTGCGTTACGCCGCTGGGCGGTACTACCCCGTACAATGACACAGGCTCATCTACCACCTTAAGATTGTCAATTTATAATATTTGACGCTAGACGAATTGCAACCTCTCCTTGTAAAATCAATCTGTTTTTAAGCTGACTTTCGATAGAAACTTCTTGGGAAAAAAAAGTATGGCATAACAAGTTGATAAGAATTTTTAGCCTTTGGGGTACCTTGTGGAGTAATCTTCTTCCAGATCTTGAATCCAGTTCTGTTTTTTGGTATCTCATCTTCATTTGATATTTGAGTGTATTTATTTGTATTTGTATCCAGTGATAGATATCGACAGCTTTTCACTAGACTGCATTTATGAAAGTTCTTGCTAAAAACTGTTGTACCCAAGTTGAGATCAGAACCTTCATTTTGTGCATCTCCAAGCTCGATAAAATAAGAACCTTTTGATACAAGGTTGCTGCGTATAACAGATAACTGAAAAACTGAAAAAATGGCAAAGAACATTGATGCATTCACCATGGTGGCTTTTCGGTACTCCACCAGCTCTTGCCTGCAGAAAAACAACTTGGCAATCTGGATTAATTGTAATGTGGCAAGGTAAAAGGTCCGTTTTTGGCAGTTACCGGATGCGTAAGAACAATGAAACCTTAATTCAATGCTTGATATAAACACCTGTAGTTATTTTTCTTTTTTATAACATATACGCCTTCTCTTGAGGTGTTTATAAGTAGTAGATAAGCCGCATGGACGTCATTCTATTGCAACTACCTGTAGGTATACAGTTCTGAGTTGTTGTTGGAGGTTGTTTGTAACAAACGACTCGGAACAACCTACATACATAATCCAAAAGCCGTTTCATATGAGATAGATACACAAACAAATAATGGTTTGCAAGTTCTTTGCTGGAAGGATGTTTTCAGTGCATTGTTTGGTCGTAAAAAGCAAGCGACTGGATAACAGATTTAACGAGCACCGACGAGACATCAACAAAATATAGACAAATCTGGTGTTGCAGAACACTTCTGCAGCCAAAAACATACCATCGATGACCTTACTATCACACCATTTCTGCAACTTAACGACAAACGAAACAGTGTTCGACGACCCAAAAAGTAGACCATTTTAGAAAATATTGTTTCGCTTTCTGATCCAATTGCCATCCGAATTCGCAGGGCTCAAGCTTTAATTTTTCTCTTTGTCAGCTCTTCCCTAATATCTAGCGCTGATGAAATACGCATTTTGCTGCCTCTTGCATTGAATATACATCATTTAATTGTGGTAGGACCACTGTCCCAGGGTTTACAGTACAAATCAAAGCCTGTTTGGCATACTGCTTTACCCTGGGTAATTTATTTTCACTACGGGTGCTGTAGTCTGGGAGCTGAAACCTGGTTGTTTCTGTTTCTCATATTCAATTAATTCCCTTCTTCCACAAAAAGAATAAAAAAGTTTAGCAATGCTGGAAATTTCCCTTTTTTATTACCATTGGCTGCAGCAGAAGCATCGTCAATCAATGCATTTTCTACTTCCATTTCTTCGCTATCTACAAAACGTATTGTTCCGTTCGTATCAAATTTCTCCTTGTTCTCTTACTTTATAATTTGAACGGTATTTTTGGCGATGCAGAACTTGAAAATGGCTTTGAAAAAAGCAAACATTCTATAACATATTGGCTGGCTAAAACCTTTTCGTCTGACACTCCTTAGAGCATGAAACGTCTGAAAAAGGGTCCGAAAGAACAAGATGGAAAATATATACCCAGTTTTGGATCGAAGTAGGCCAATCAGAAAAACGCAAGCACAAGGCCGGTATAGTTGTCCAATCAGTGCTGCGTCCCAGAAGTGGACTGGCCCACCGGGACACCGCGAAATTTCCCGGTGCGCCCTTTGCCCCCAAGTTATTTTTTCAAAAACTTGAAATCTTTCAAAAGGCAACTAACCTTCGGATAAAACTAAAACTGATTACAATCATAAATTGACCTCCTGTCTAAAGTACGTTTCCATGAAAAGTTTAGAAAATTCATTGAAGACGAAATTTTCATCAGCAGTTTCTGCAAATTTTTTGAAAACCTTGAGAAAAACATATTTTGTTTTTAAAATGGCTTTGAAAAAAGCAAAAAATTTTATATAGATTAAATTTTTTTCTTCTGAAACTTTTCATAGCATATAACGTTAGAATAAAGGACCAAAAGAACAAGATGGAGAATTCGATCCACAAATGGGTATTTATTCTCCATCTTGTTCTTTCCGACCCTTATTCTTACGTTTTAAACTCTAAAGAGGTTCAAACGAAAAAGCTTTAATATGTTAAAAATTTTTGCTTTTTTCAAAGCCATTTTCAAATTTAGTAGCGCCAAAAATTGTTCACATTTTTTTATTGGCAGCAGTTAATGTGGTAGCAGCCAGAAAGCCTACTCTCACTTCCAACCCTCGTTAGCTTTTAATTTTTTCAAGCAAGTGCGCAATACTTGAATTAATTCGATATCTGTTGAGGTGAAACCCATGACTTTTGACTAACCATATTAGTTTTTTGACTTATGACTAATGCGAATTATTTCGACTATCTGATATCGAATAACTGAGAGGGCTCGCACATTGGAAAAATTAATTGAGCACTACCCTGTGCTCTTTCCAATCAAAATAGTTATAACTGGATAAACAAATCGATGTGTTGGCCATTGGGTATGGTAACGTTCACATATTACGTAATCAAAGATGGGTTGGGGAGGGGGGGGGGTGGGGTTTCACAAACGGTAACAGTCATTATGGCTATTTCTTAAAGCTTGTAAAATTTATTTAGGAAGAAGGAGATTTTTCAAATAATGCCGTTTTTTGATGACGTAATATGTGCATATTCCTTGTGTTGTCTATCTTGAATAATAGTCCTTTTTCTTTGGGCCATAAACTATCCCTCAATAGTGAAAAATTCCCCAGGTATGATAAAGAACAATACTTTCTCAACGTCCTGTTGTTGGCAAGCTATTTTACTTTGCAATTCAACTAAAATCTCCTATCCATCATGATTTTTGTACGTTACAACCAGGAGTTTTGTACCCTAAAAAAACTATGACTAATTGAAGTCAAAAGTCGTGACAACTTTTTAAAAACTCTATACAGAATTTATTGAGGATTGATGCCCTCATGTAAGAGCCTTCTATAAACTTAATGGAAAGTTAAACCGGCTGTTTTGATAAAACTGGTTTCAAATTTTATTTTTAAAGTATTCTAATCTTTCTTCAAACTTTTGTCCCGGAATAGAGACTGTGTCTTTTCTTAAGAAATTCTTTATCCATTCTACCATGTTTACGAGCAGTTTCTCATACTGAAGGAGCCATCAATCTGCAAAATCATCAATTTGCGCAAACCGGACGGCAGCAAGATCTCTTAAAATCCATTTGTCCAAGATATTTTATCAGATATTTTTCGGACAAGTCTACAGTTTTAAGCACATGTTCAATACCTGATCATAAATCATATCTTTTGTAAATGATTAGAAACTGTAGCGTGGAAGCAGGAGCAACACAGTCATTAGTCTAGCAGGTGTTGAGGTACCTCTTTACTTTTTTTCAAAGATATGCTGCAAAACTTTTGAAAATTTGTGAGAACGAAGTCATGTATTTCGTCAAATTTTTAAAGATTTCGAGATCGAGTTTAATCGAAAAGAATCTCGTCTCCTAGGCCAGTGAAGTTGCTTTCTTTGTAAAATCTTGGAAAAATGTGTCTCACTAGCTGAAAAATGGCTCCGGGCTTTGGTCCAGCTTTCAAAATCTATCATTTGATATCATCATTCAGCAGCGGTTTTAAGGACTGCGGGGCCATTAGTCTAGCAGGTGTTGAGGTACCTCTTTACTTTTTTTCAAAGATATGCTGCAAAACTTTTGAAAATTTGTGAGAACGAAGTCATGTATTTCGTCAAATTTTTAAAGATTTCGAGATCGAGTTTAATCGAAAAGAATCTCGTCTCCTAGGCCAGTGAAGTTGCTTTCTTTGTAAAATCTTGGAAAAATGTGTCTCACTAGCTGAAAAATGGCTCCGGGCTTTGGTCCAGCTTTCAAAATCTATCATTTGATATCATCATTCAGCAGCGGTTTTAAGGACTGCGGGGCCATTAGTCTAGCAGGTGTTGAGGTACCTCTTTACTTTTTTTCAAAGATATGCTGCAAAACTTTTGAAAATTTGTGAGAACGAAGTCATGTATTTCGTCAAATTTTTAAAGATTTCGAGATCGAGTTTAATCGAAAAGAATCTCGTCTCCTAGGCCAGTGAAGTTGCTTTCTTTGTAAAATCTTGGAAAAATGTGTCTCACTAGCTGAAAAATGGCTCCGGGCTTTGGTCCAGCTTTCAAAATCTATCATTTGATATCATCATTCAGCAGCGGTTTTAAGGACTGCGGGGCCATTAGTCTAGCAGGTGTTGAGGTACCTCTTTACTTTTTTTCAAAGATATGCTGCAAAACTTTTGAAAATTTGTGAGAACGAAGTCATGTATTTCGTCAAATTTTTAAAGATTTCGAGATCGAGTTTAATCGAAAAGAATCTCGTCTCCTAGGCCAGTGAAGTTGCTTTCTTTGTAAAATCTTGGAAAAATGTGTCTCACTAGCTGAAAAATGGCTCCGGGCTTTGGTCCAGCTTTCAAAATCTATCATTTGATATCATCATTCAGCAGCGGTTTTAAGGACTGCGGGGCACGGGGCCAAAGACATCTGCGGGGCCCTTGTTCTTGTCAATTTGTTTCTTTTTTCTTAGATGTAGGGCCCCTTTTGGCTACCATAATCGTGGGGCCTGGGGTCATGGCCCGCCTCGACCCACCTTAAAACCGCCGCTGTCATCATTTGATACCTAAAATTGAGGGCAATACATCATTTGATACCTACAAATTTTATTAGCCGTGTAGACGTTTCAAATACAGTCAATTTGAGAATCTTCTTCATGCCAATGCCAATTGTGAATAAAAAACTTTGATTTTCGATATTGGGCATGTTTTGACATTCTAAATAGGGTGATTTAAAAAATTTTTCCGAGGGCCAGCCCCCGACCCACCGTTTCGTTTCCTTTGACAGTGTTTGCAACAAACTGATTCTCAGGTAAAGCAAAGTTTTTTCGAGCCCGTTTTACAAGAACCAAAGTTAAGCAACTTTAGCACCTAGTGGCACCCTTTTGGCTACTTTTCCCGGTTGGTCAAACGTTTGCCAGTCCGCCACTGCTGCGTGCCTATAGAAAAATTGCCATTGGAGTCCAGGAGAGACAGGTCAAGTTTTTACTGACCATATTTGAAACAGGCAAACTGTTTATACAGAAAGATGTCAGCGCTGAGGCAAGAAAAAAACTCCTGTTTTTTCTGACTGAGTTTCGCAGGAAATTGCAAAGCAGAAAGTACTATGAAGAATATTTTGCACGATCTAGTGAAAGTGGATTGAAATTCTGCAACAAATTGAGCAGGTGTGAATGTGAAGGTCAATATAACAAAGAGAAGTGCAGCTCATTGCTCTCGAGATGCAATGATACTTTCTAAAACCTGGAATCTTGACCATCGGTTATTTCTGTTGCATCTTCTTGAAGTTGGTCATACAATACAATACAATACAATACAATACAATACAATACAATACAATACAATGCAATACAATGCAATGCAATACAATACAATACAATACAATACAATGGTGCAAAAGATAAGAAGCCAAAAGCATTAAGTCTAATCGACACACTTCAGATTGGGGCCTTAGCACAATTCAGATTCGTGACCTGCCGTCTTTTTTGTCTATCTAGATAGTCTGTATGAATCTTTTTGCTTCCGTCCTGGACTGCAGTTTCCACACCACGCGGCCATTGCTTCCCAGTTTTCCAAGGGAATGCCCATTTCCGTGAGATCTTTGTTGGTACAGTCTTTGAACCTCAGTTTGCGCCGTCCTCTCTGTCTTGAACCCGCTACTTAGCTAACCATAGAGGATGTCTTTTGGCAGCCGCCCATCCTCCATCCAATGCAGGCGTCCCAGCCATCTCATCCTCCTGGATTTCAAGATGTGGAAAATTGAATAGCTTCCTATGCAGGTCAGAACCTCCTGGTTGGTGACATGGTCCTTCCAGGACACACAGATGATTCTGCGGAGGTTGCGCATGTGAAAAGGATTCAACTTTCTTTCGTGTCTGGTGTATGTGGTCCAGGTTTCAGATCCATAAAGATACGTGCAGCAGCACGCAGGTCTCGTAGATACGTGTCTTTGTTTTCTCAGTAAGGTGTTTCTTGTTCCTGGCCCGAGAACGGGCTGAAGGTGGTTGCCGCTTTGCCGATACGCACTTCCAGCTCTCTGTCAAGGGACAGATCGGTACTGATGGTGGAGCCCAAATAGCAGAATTTGTCGACTACGTTCAACTCTTGGTTTTCAACTCAGATTGCTGGGCTGTCGGCTGTTGAGCGATTCTTAACAACCGTTTTCTTTGTGCTTATGATAAGGGAGAGGTCTGTACAGGCAGCGCCAAATCGGTCCATAAGACGCTGCAGAACTTCCAGACTGTGGGAGACGAAGACCCCGTCATCAGTGAGAAGTAGCTCTCGCACACTAACTCGGCATACTTTCGTTTTGGCACGTAGTCTGGGCGGTTGGTAGAGATGACCATTCGACCTTGTGTGAAGGTAGATGTCATCGTGATCATCATAATGCATGGTGCATGGTTCCATAGTGGGTGTTTGGTCGAGTTCCATTATCACGTCTTAGCTGGGTATGGCTTCAGAACCAGCAGCGCTGATGGCCCTTGGCTCTCATAGTAGTGCTCAACCCAGCGTGCCAACTGCATTGAAGTGTCGGTTATGAGAGTGCCATATCTGGACTTCAACGGACACCCTCTTGGTCGTCGGTCCAATCGCCTTGCGAATGCCTTGGTAAAGTTTGCGTTGGTTTCCCATGTCAGCCACGGTTTGTATCTCGTCACACAGA